GAGCTCAGCCCTCATTTTTCCTCCTGGACACCCACCCTGGCCTCCCCAGCCTCCTGACCTCTGATCTGAGGGGGGAGGGGGCACCTACAAGGTAACAGTGATTGCCTGTTTCCCAATGTCCTTCCTCACCCCTTGGAGGCCCCTCTCCGCCCTACAGAAAGTCACCTGCTCTCAGGCATCGGGGAACCCCTTCCCCAGCCTAGAGCTTCCAATTGGCATTTGGGGGTCCTTAGCATAGGGTTTGACAACTTTTTAAAGATATCTAAGGCACCCAGCTGGTGTGGCTCAGTGGTTGAGCGTTGATCTATGAACCAGGAGGTCATGGTTCGATTCCCAGTCAGGGCACATTCCCATCAATGATTTTCATGATTGATGTTTCTAGCCCTCTCTCTATCCGAAATAAAAATATATTTAAAAATAAATAAAATAAACTAATGCTGAAACCACAAAAGGAGAGCACAAGAATATAAAACTAAATCAAGAAAATATTTTTAAAGACTTTATGCCTAATTTTAGTATTTTTAAAAGCCTCTCTACCACCCAAAATGGTGCACTGTAGCATGTGGCTTCTGGAAGCAGTTGTACAGGAAGCAAATCTCTCAGATGGGACTCCATGGCGAGGACCAGAGGCCAATTGTTGGGGCCCCTTTAGCTGTCATTCACCTTTGCACCCACTTCCATTCAGTGAGGATTGTAACTGTCATTACAAAGGAAACACACTCAGTTTGTCCCAATTCTTAGAAAGAGACTTCCAAGCAAACTGTGTACACCAAATCCCACCTTCCTTTGTTTCCCATACGGTCCCATATGCATCTCCATGGCAACACAGGAGAGAATCTACCCCCAGAATGACTTGGAGTCCAGAGGGTTAAGTTGGCACACACACAGGAAGCTGAGTATGATGTATATGTATTGAGTAGGAGTAAGAGTTTTATTGTTACAGAATTTTGGGGACCCTCCCTTCCCCCTCCTTCCCCACTAGCGCCCCCTCCCCATCCTGCATTGTAGTCACTGTCCGCTTTTTGCGGGCACCAGTCCCGTGTCTAATACAGCTGGGTTGCAGTTCCACCCTCTGCCACTAGGTGGAGGCAGAGGACTTCACGCCGAGACTGTCTCTCTGGCCTCAAGCCGACCCCGGCGGCACCCCTCCTGGAGAGACGCGCCTGCAGGGGGCGCTGGCGTCCGGTCCTCCGGGGAAGGTCGGGTTCCCACGGAGCCTGGGTCCCAGCAGATGCGGTCCCGGGAACACTGGGCGCCTGTTGTCTCCTCTGCAGGGAGAGCCCGGCCAGGTCCTCCCGCTGCTGCTCTGCTCCCCGCGGCCTGGGGAGAGGAGGCAGTGGGGGCTGGGCAGGAGGATGGAGCAGGAAGGGGGTAGGCCTCTTCTCGGTGAGCTCAGCCAGGAGTCCAGGGGTCAGCAGAGTGAGGGAGCCCATTCCCGGCCACCCCGGGGTGGGGGTGGGGCGCCCAGCCCTGGCCCTGCCACTCACGTGCTGTGTGTCTTCAGGCAGCTTAATCCCAGTCTCTGAGCTTGTTCTCCGTTTGCTGCGTCCTGGGCCCGGGGCAGGTCCGGTTCCTCCAGGCAGTGTCCAGCGTCCGGGACAGGCAGAGAAGAGAGAAAATGGGGGTCACAGGGGTCCTCCCACCCCGGGGCTCTGGCTTGGCCGCCCCGCCGCCTCCAGGAAGCCCGAGAGGACCCCTGGTGGCTCCCCCTCCCGCTCAGAACTTGGGAACCTCAGCGCTTTGGGAAGGGGAGAGGGGGGCGCAGAGTGAGAGGGGAGCCCTGGGGTGGGAGAGGGATGGGGGGCCCTGGACAGAGGCTGGGTGGAGACAAGGCGCAGAGGGAGGCTGCTGGAAGGGGAGAACCCCTGGGTTGGGGGGGCAGATTCATGGAGGAGAAAAAGGAATACGATGGAATGGAGACGGGGAGACAGAAGAGAGAAACGAAAAGACAGAGAGGGGGAGATGAGAAGAAGAAAAGGAGAGATTCAGAGGCGAGAACTCAAAGGAAGAGGGAGGGAGGGGAGAAAAGAGATGGAAGAGAGAAGGGAGGGGCAAGACGGGGAGAAAGTGCAGGGAACAGGACGAGGGGAGAAGGAGGAGAAGGGGGCGCTCAGGAGAAAAGGAGGAGGGAGCAGAGAGGACAGCTGGGGGGAGCAGGGAGGGAAGGGGGGTGAGAGAGAAGACAGAAGTGGGAGAAAGGGGAGACGGGGAGGAGGAGGGAGAGCTCAGGCCAGAGGAGAGGAGGAGAGAGGGGAGGGGAGGAGAGGGGAGAAGAGAGAGGAGGGAGAGAAAGGAGAGAACGAGGAGCAGGAGAAACGGGAAAAGGACCGGGAGGGGGAGCAGGACAGGGAGGTGACGAGAGCGAGAGGGGTTAGTGGCAGGTGGCTCTGAAGGAGGGAGAGAGCAGAAGCAGAACAAGAGAAAGAGGCCAGGAAGCAGGACGGGAAGGAAAAGGGAGAAGATGTGGGGAGAGAAAGAAGAGAGAGCCAGGAGCAGGTGGGGGAGAGAGAAACGCAGGGGACGGAGGGGAGTGAGGAATGGGGTGGACAGGAGAGGGGGAGGAGAAGAGAGAAACTGGAGGCGGAGGAGAGGACGGAGGGGCGGGAAGGAGGGGAGGGGTGCGGAGAGGCGAGACCTCGGGAGGAGGAAAGGGGGGAGAGGAGCAGGAGGAAGAGGTGAGAGGAGTGAGCCTGTGTAGGCGGGAGCAGGTGTGGAGACGCGGCTGAGAGAAGGGGAGGCAGGGGCAGATGGAACAGAGGTCCCCCATCACCCACACCCAGAGGCTGGGGGAGGTCTAGCGGAGGGCAGGGTGGAGGGAGGAGGCTGCGGGCTGGACAGGGAGACCGTGGGAGGAATCCCAGAGGCGGGAGGACGTGGCCTGAGGCAGGGAGCAGCTG